TCATTTGTTCCGCTTAGTATCGTTACACAACATCAGCTTGGTACGTCACCAGAGCCCAGGGCTACACTATCAGCGCTGCGGTTATTGTTACTCGATTACTCTGTGTGATATAAAGATCAGACACATTGTACTGTGTGATACACAACCCAGACACATTGCACTGTGTGATACACAGACCAGACACATTGCACTGTGTGATACACAGACCAGACACATTGCACTGTGTGATACACAAACCTGACACATTGCACTGTGTGATACACAAACCAGAAACATTGCACTGTGTAATACACAAACCAGAAACATTGTACTGTGTGATGCACAAACCAGACACATTGCACTGTGTGATACACAACCCAGACACATTGCACTGTGGGATACACAAACCAGACACATTGCACTGTGTGATACACAGACCAGACACATTGTACTGTGTGATACACAACCCAGACATATTGTACTGTGTGATACAGAAACCAGACACATTGCACTGTGTGATACACAGACCAGAGACATTGCACTTTGTGATACACAAACCTGACACATTGCACTGTGTGATACACAAACCAGAAACATTGTACTGTGTGATACACAAACCAGAAACATTGTACTGTGTGATACACAAACCAGAAACATTGTACTGTGTGATACACAACCCAGACACATTGCACTGTGTGATACACAGACCAGACACTTTGTACTGTGTGATACACAAACCAGACACATATCGCTGTGTCATACACAAACCAGAAACATTGTACTGTGTGATTCACAAACCAGACACATTGTACTGTGTGATACACAAACCAGAAACATTGTACTGTGTGATACACAACCCAAACACATTGCACTGTGTGATACACAAACCAGACACATTGCACTGTGTGATACACAGACCAGACACTTTGTACTGTGTGATACACAACCCAGACACATTGCACTGTGTGATACACAAACCAGAAACATTGCACTGTGTGATACACAAACCAGACACATTGTACTGTGTGATACACAAACCAGAAACATTGTACTGTGTGATACACAACCCAAACACATTGCACTGTGTGATACACAAACCAGACACATTGCACTGTGTGATACACAGACCAGACACATTGTACTGTGTGATACACAACCCAGACACATTGTACTGTGTGATACACAACCCAGAAACATTGCACTGTGTGATACACAAACCAGACACATCTCGCTGTGTGATACACAACCCAGACACATCTCGCTGTGTGATACACAACCCAGACACATCTCGCTGTGTGATACACAAACCAGACACATATCGCTGTCTGATACACAAACCAAACACATCTCGCTGTGTGATCATAGGGTCCTGTCTAATTGCACTAAATGGTCCAAGTTCCAGGACAATTGCACCGTGTGATACACAGACCAGAAATATATCGCTGTGTGATACACAAACCAGAAACATTGTACTGTGTGATACACAAACCAGACACTTTGCACTGTGTCGTACACAAACCAGAAACATTGCACTGTGTGATACACAACCCAGACACATCTCGCTGTGTGATACACAACCCAGACACATCTCGCTGTGTGATACACAAACCAGACACATATCGCTGTGTGATCATAGGGTCCTGTCTAATTGCACTTAATGGTCCAAGTTCCAGGACAATTGCACTGTGTGATACACAGACCAGAAACAGATCGCTGTGTGATACACAAACCAGAAACATTGTACTGTGTGATACACAAACCAGACACATTGCACTGTGTGATACACAAACCAGAAACATTGCACTGTGTGATACACAAACCAGACACATTGCACTGTGTGATACACAAACCAGAAACATTGCACTGTGTGATACACAACCCAGACCAGACACAAACCAGACACATATCGCTGTGTGATACACAAACCAGACACATTTCGCTGCGTGATCATAGGGTCCTGTCTAATTGCACTAAGAGGTCCAAGTTCCAGGACAATTGGACTGTGTGATACACAGACCTGAAACATTGCGCTGTACTATCAAAGGTCCAGATTCGTTGCACGATGTGATAAACAGTCCTCACTATTTGCACTGTGTGATACACACTCCTCATTATTTGCACTGTGTGATTCAAAATTGGACTTGACCAAAAGATAACAAACGTTATCAAAACGTTGCCAGGCTGAAAACAGTCGCCGAAACACGGAAAACGTAAGATCCAAAACACAACTATGATAGCCGTATAAAATACATCAACTAATAACCATTTCTTTATTTATTTCATGTTTATCCACCATCAAACATGGGTGTATACGTTCTTCGTTCCTGCAGTTAAGACTTGTATTTCAAGCTTTAGGTACTACAGAGAGTTTGAAGTTTCGCGATTTAGTACATCCAACTTTAGTATCGACAATCCACTCAAATGATTGGACACTAAAGAGTTCGCGTTTTAATCTGTCATTGCAGAATTGAGACAAACAGATCGTGTGCTCAATGTAGAGCAAGGTTACCTGTAGATTTCATTTAACCCCGCTAATACATTTGAAACCTCACGCTGTTCGTTTGATTTGACGTAATCCGACTTGCCTTTGCATGTGTTTGTGACAGGTGCCACGAGTGGGGCAGGATATGCTCATCTTTTCGTGAACACCTGGTATCATCACTATTTGATAATGATTCATAAACACATGCTCATGACATAGTCGGAATCCTACAATCGACTCTGCTTTATGCAGAGATTTCTATTGGATGTGAAAAAGGTTTTGTCGCTTTATGTACATTGAACACACCGACTGTGCCAGCTGGAATTGTCACACGAGTCTGTATAATATATGACCGGCTGGATCGACAGCGTCTATCAAATTAGTGTATCAAATATGTCCACAATGTTCCTTTCACTGCATTAATCTGATATAGATATCAAACTGACAGGGTGAATCATCCACTGACCCCACTTGCAACCACTTGTACCATCCAGAGATTCACAAGTCGGCCTAAGTACAATCTAGGACCAGACAGAACGTCACCTGTACTGTGCTCAATGTCTTTTTTCACTATTTGACTCGTTATAGCACATTGTGAAGGTCAATTGTTCACCGTGAGTATTCACGTGGTGAATGGAATTTGGAGCATTAAAAATGGCCTCTATACTCGTACAATGGCCTCTACATTTGGCAGAGATGTCATGATTATGGAAAGGTTTCTTAGGGTTTTTAGTTTTATCATCATAATATCATTGTCATTGTTATTCTATTTTTATTATCATAAACCACAGTCAGCAATCTATCATTGTCATATCGTATCATATCATATCATATCATATCATATCATATCATATCTCATTATTATTAATAATATTATTATGTTTGTTCTTTTTCTTTATTAAGCTCAGTCAGCGTTCCGCCTGCTCCATCACAGCTGCCTGAAAAATAATGGAACCTGAGCCAGAACCGGAGACGGTGGACCCAGGCCATCGTTGGACGATGAAACACGATGAAGCAAGTCACCGAGTTCACCCGGTCCAACCAGGAGGTCCATATAGAGATCAAATGTTCACACACAAGCGATGAGTGCATGCACATAATGAGTGAGTGAGTATGGTTTTACGCCGCTTTTAGCAATATTCCAGCAATATCACGGCGGGGGACACCTGAAATGGCCTTCACACATTGTACCCATGTCGGGAAACGAACCCGGGTCTTCGGCGTGACGAGCGAACGCTTTAACCACTAGGCTACCCCACCGCTCTGCATGCAAATAATCCTTGAAGCTATTTGCGTTTGGTTATCAAAAAGAATGATCAAAAGGGTTAATTATCATCTCGTGACACCTGTGTATTTAGTAAATCCCATCTTGTATACAAATCCAATAAATTTTATACACCCTGAGAGGCTACTACATGGATCTGGTGGTTTGATTTATTGAGAGTCATTGTGTCAAACAAATGAAAGCGACAATCCCCTTTCCATATTCATAAGAAATATCTGCTAAAAGCTAAACACGCCACTCGAGTTCGATTTTCATGACGAGCATTGTGACGCGTAAATTGATTTTAATACACTTTGATGTTTTGAATAGTTATTTCTTGTTTCCCTGTTTTATTCCATGTTGTGTTTTGTCGCCATGTTTCTATGCTCAATAAGAAATCTCTGTCAAAAGCAGAGTCGATTGTACGATTTCGACTATGATATCGAGAGCATGTGTTTATGAATCACTATCAAATAGATATGATACCAGGTGTTCGCGAAAAGGTCATCGGTGGCAAGTCATCTGTTCACCTGAAAAAAACACGGGAACATATGGGTCAAGTCAAAATGGGGAATTGCCATCATCTTTGTCACTGATGGGTCAAACTATGAAATGGCGTCCACATGTCTCCTATAAATCCTTCGAGTTATGGGGAATCCATATGGTATAAATTCCTCTTGTCTCAAATACTGTCCGTATATAAAGAGAAGGTCCTTCGTTGATTGCATCAAGGATATATGGTTTATCGTTGATTGTTGAGACAGAGTTTTGGTTGAACATTTGCTGCACCAAGCAATAGTTCTCTTTTTGTATGGATTTTTAATTATGGAGCTTTGGAATCCAGAACAAAAGAGAAATAAGCATATCTTCAGGTTTTGAAGTTAGCCAGTTTTCTTCCTCAGATAACATGCGTGCCTTATATGTGGCATCATTTGATATGTCACTTATATCAAGTTTTTTTATGTGATGTGAAACCGTATTCACTCAATGACGGTATCGTGACAGGGTCAGTGACTCAATCAAACATCAGCAAATTGTCTGGGTGCCGTTGTACAAAGCGATCTTAGCGCTAAGGTGATCGTTACACCCATACCTTAACATAGACTTGCGACAGTCGTCATACTAAAGTTGTTTTGTACAACAGGGCCCTGGAGTTGATATGTCAATACATGATCGGTATAACTGTGATCTTTAAAATATATTTTGTTTTTAGAAATAAAATTCTTTATCTTTCTATCCTTCAGCTTTGTCGATAATCACGAAGTAACGCATGCATTTATTTTAAACATTTATTCAAATGTTCGTATTCCGACAAAATCATGTGGGTAGATAACATCATTATGATTAATAACAATATGCATAAGAGTAAAAATAATTAAAAATGCAATATTATGACAACATATACCAATGTACCACTCATGATGGGGGAAATATATCTCACATCATTTACATACATTTACATATTATCATTAATCAGTTTAGTGTATGGAATCATCCTGTCCTGAATATCTAAAGTTGAGTACTGGGATATTAACGTTCACGAAGAATGCAATGAAACATTTGGTGGATCATGGAATAATAAGAAAAACCCTTATAAAAAGTTGAGCTGTATACGGGAAAGCCCACTCACCGGATAGTCATTTGAATACATTAGCATACAACATATATATACACCATATACCTATATATCCCATCCGGGATTCGAACCCACACTCTCAGAGTGAGGCAACCCCTCTGACAAGTGTTAATTGGCACGTTTCCCTTGGCCGAAAGCTATAAATACATAATGCCATTTTGGAAGTGGTCAAATGTCATATATGTTATATTTGGGATAACACTGTCGGTGGCTGTATGGGCTAGCTTTACTAAGAAAGTGTTATCCCAAATATAACATTTGTTAAATGTATCAATTCGTTCAAATGCTCATTGAAACGGAATGTCAAACAGAACTGCATACTGTAATATGTCTGCAGACATAATGTTTCCAAACCCCCCAAAATGGTCAGTTATTTTTATGTAAAATGATACTCAGCAACTGCTGTTCTGTCCACAGTATACCATGTATGATTGTACAACTGTACAATAACATTGTATCACTAATGCATTGTATAGAAGTAGGGTTGCTACAATTCTCACTTGGCTGTTACTCGGGATCCATATCAAGCTTGAATTTGCACACATAATTACCTGTTTGGCTCACACAAAAGGTATTTGTAGCAAGCTGAAAATAACCATTGTGTTACAACATTGCGTGGCAATTGTAGTTAGCTATAATATGAATATGCGCATACTAAACTCAACTGTAACCAGACATAGACATATGAAAACCGAATTATTTTGTCCTTTCGGTTCAAAATAGACCGAAGAGTTGCATAGTTGATAAATATATCATTTATTATTCCGAAGCACATTTTACTACTTTTATAGTAAGAACAGCTTTATCGTGCCGAAGCACATTTTACTATTTTAGTAAGGACCGCTGAACTATGCCGAAGCACATTTTACTATTTTAATAAGAAACGCTTTACTATGCCAAAGCACATTTTGCTATTTTAGTAAGAACCGCTTTACTATGCCGAAGCACATTTTACTATTTTAGTAAGAGCCGCTTTACTATGCAGAAATACATTTTACTATAAAGAAAGGCATTGCTATGCCGAAGCACATTACACTATTGAGAACAGTTTTACTATGCTGAAGGTTGTATTAAATGTCCTTGATCACACCATATGTGAATCACCGCACCACATAGAGTATAAGGACAGGCGCCCTAACACAATATAAGTATTAACCACCATCACACTACGACATTTGATCTAGCGTCACAGCCTTCATCTGTGTAGATACCGCATCTCACAATTGTCATATAAACCATACTCTGACAGACACATCATCATCCCTCGTACTGTGTTTACTGCCCATGTTTGATGATGACGACGGGAACGTTGGAATGGTGAAGGACGTAGTCACTGACGCTGCCTAAAAACGTCCTCCGGATTTTGCCCAGTCCACGTGTACCTGTCACAATCAATTTGGCGTTTTCCATCTCGGCAATCTTCACGATTACCTCCCCTGGTGCCCCGCCCATACTCCGAACCTTGCCGCCAATCTGAAGCAAAGCGTGTTAGCAATTCATTAATTATCTGTTACATTATTCTGCCGAACAATTGCACGATTCCGACTGTGTAATAAGCATGTGTTTATTAATAACTATCACACAGTGATGACACCAGGTGTTCGCGGAAAGGTGAGCCTATCCTGCCTCCACATATCCTACATGTTTGCGCCAAGTGAGGTGTTGATCAAGGATCATTCTAGAATTACGGGTTTGTACGATAACGATAACATTTTTTCGAATTTGCTTGGTTTGCATTTTATGGCTTTGCGGCTGAAACAAACCCTGTATACCCAGGTAACATACTTAAAAATAAGATTAAAACTGGAGTTCAGACTCTAGTAAAATATAATAAATACATTAAAGATTAATTCACCAAAGATATCTTAATGTTTCATATTTATTGTTGTAAGACACATTAACCATACATTCAAAACAGATTGGTTGCCTTTCAGTCATATCATAACATTCCTCAATATGTTTCTCGCAGTTTGATTGTGCCTAAAAATGTGAAATGTTGAAAAAAAACTCTTCAAATATGAACCTGTCTCACTGGTCTCCTTTATTTCTAGTTCAGGCTGGTAAATCAGTGGAAGGGAATAGAGGCTATTAGATTGTTATAAAACGACACCAAATCATCATCACCTGAAGCTTAAGTTAAACTTCTTGGCCAAATTATTTGTTTTGACTTTGCCAAAAGAATTCCGATTCAGATGCATAAAGTAACAGATCAGCAAGAAGGGGAGAATACTGATGCTCGTTGGGGATGCCTTCATTTTGCCTAAATGTCTTACATCCAAATTGTACGTGGACGTTACCAACTAGGAAGTCCGTCATTTCACATTATTCTTTCCTCAGTAAACTTCCTACGTACATATATTAATGTTTAGAAACTAACGTCTGAGTAATCTCTCTGTCTCTCTCTGTCTCTCTCTGTCTCTCTCTCTCTCTCTCTCTCTCTCTCTCTCTCTCTCTCTCTCTCAAATACACACACATTATTCTTACCTCAGTAAACTTCCTACGCACATATATATAATATTAATGTTTAGAAACTAACGTCTGAGTAATCTCTCTCTCTCTCTCTCTCTCTCTCTCTCTCTCTCTCTCTCTCTCTCTCTCTCTCTCTCTCTCTCTCTCTCTCTCTCTCTCTCTCTCTCCCATACACACACACACACACACGCCTCTCTTTGAAAGCACGTACCCCTGCCTTTTTTAGCCTCTCTCCCAGCTGTTCAATGAATTCTTTGATCCTCTGTTGTTCCACCTCCAGTTGGTCTGCCACAATGGCGATGTCAGTCATCACCATGCCTGCATCACACAACACATAGTACATGTAGCACGTTGCATATACGTTATGCACACACATTGTAGAATGTATGCAGCGACTATAAAGGCCATAATATATTGTATATTTCCCCGGGATTCTAGCTAGAAGAGGTAAGCTACCTATGTAGGACGTAAGAGTTGACTGAAGGGATAACGTGACCAGGCCCTGTTACTTGGTTGATTGCTTGTCATAATATCAATCGTTGCTCATAATACCAATCACTGGCTTGTCGGGTCCAGACTTGATTATTTACAAGCCGCACAAGGGTATTTACCATAATATTGAATAGAGATGTAACACCCTGGATAAACGAGGAAGAACCGCGTTACAGCCTGCATTCCGTGTGACCTTACGTTGACCTTGACCTGTGATGTAACAATGAATACTTATGAGTCCAGCGACAGAAACACCTGACACCGATCCTTCACACACAGATATGTGAGGTCGGCTGGTGTAGCTGTGCTCAACGAGAACTGATAACAACAGTAACTATAGAGAACTCCTGTCATCAACGTGTTGATTTGACCTTCGAAATAAGTAGTATGGTATGTTGCCTGTCATTTTGTCATTTGCATTTTAAAATAGCTGGAAGACGTCAACTAATTAGATATTGCCTGATGCGACGATGAGCAAAGAGCAACAACACTTCACCGCCTCCGTGGTCTAGTGGATAGAACGTCTGTCTTGAGAGTGGAAGGTCGGGGGTTCAATGCCATGCCGCGTCATACATTAAGACGTTAAAAGATGCTATTTGTTCATATCCTGCCTGGTACACGGTATTAAGGGGACAAGACAAGGACTGGTCGGCGCGGGGTCAGCATACTGTGTCTGGGTGGGGTATTTGTGTTAAACTGCGGCATGGTATCTCAGTGGGCTGGAACTATAAAATCAGAATTTTAGTACAAGTACAGACTATTACTTGTCCCTGCTGCATATGGCACTCAAGCATGACAACGACGACATATTGCTATGTTTTCTCCCACTTTCGAACTGCACTTCTTTTTTTCATAGACCAAAATAGCGCCATTACAAAAGTCACGCTGTCGAGAGGCTCGGACGCCATTGTAACCACTGTAACGCTTTATAAGGTGAGTTGTCACAGTAACAAATAAGAGTGGGTACAAGAAATATTTTTCACTGAGAGTAAATGTACCAGAAAGATTTTTTTTATTTGATTCTTAATCAAATCTCAAAGAAACACATTTGTTTACGCATTTTCGCAATATACCGACCCATTTAGATCGCATCCCAATGCATATTGTTATAGGTTTGTATCTCCGGTTTACAAGCGCATTTGTACCAATAATACCGCGCAGTCTTCGTTATTTGCATTCGGGAAAGGTCGTTTAAGCTCGTTTTCAAGATATAGAAATCAGATATACTAGTCTAGACGCTTCTCTTTTTCGTACCGAGAATTTAGAAGCCTCGACTCTGATTGACTGACCTTCTATGGAGATGTCCTCGGAGGTATCGCATCAAAGAAAAATGTCTGATTTCAACGAAATTGACATACACGCCAAATTGCAACGCCCGGGGTAGAATAAGTCTTCAGCAATCCATGCTTGCCGTAAAAGGCGACTATGCTTGGCGTAAGAGGCGACTAACGGGATCGGGTGGTCAGGCTCGCTGACTCGGCTGATCCATGTCATCGTATCCCAAATGCCTGGATCGATGCTCATGATGTCAATCACTGGATTGTCTTGTCCAGACTCGATTATTTACGAACCGCCGCCATATAGCTTGAATATTGCTGAGTGCGGCGTTAAACAAAAACCTCACTCACTCACTCATACATCAAGTGGACATGCCAGGATATAACTGAAATACTGTTCAGAGTGGCATTAAACTCACTCCCTAAATCATTCAACCTAAGTGGCAACTCGTTCCCTAATTCGGACCAGGATGCCGGACACAGCAGGCCAGATTAACGGGGAAAGTGCATGTACATGGTGGCCATATATCTTACTTGAGTGGACAACTGCCTGGTATTCTGGACAGTGCACAAAGATGACGTGGTCTTTTGGTTTGTGGATATTGTCCATATACCCTGCAACAAAGCAATAAAGATATATTTGCATGACTAAACAGGAAATGAACGAGTATCGCATCCTCTGAATGCATAGTGAGCTTGACGGGGAAAATATCATATTTCAGACTTCAAATTAATATTTTGGAGGTTAAATCTATATTTTGAGACAGTTGATGAAAACCTGATACAGCGTTGTTTTATAACATATATATCAATAAGACAATATGTCAGCAATATATCACAAATTCATTCACAAACACTTAATAGAACAGCGTTCATGAATAGAAGTATTAATCCTTTTTTGTCGTCTTTCCCTGACGTCGCGGGGCGATGCTCATAATTTCAACCACTGGTTTGTTTAGCCATTCTCGATTATTCACCATGAAAAAGGGGAAATGTTTTCTTAAATGTGGCGTCAAACAACAAACAATGCATTGTCATTTTCATTTTTAGTTTGTTGGTTTGTTTGTTGTTTAACGCCGCACCTAGCAATATTCCAGCTATATGACGGCGGTCTAAAAATAATCTAGTCTGGACCAGACAATCCAGTGATTAACATCATGAGCATCGATCCACGCAATTGAGATCGATGACATGCATCAACCAAGTCAGCGAGCCTGACCACCCGATCCCGTTAGTCGCCTTTTACGACAAGCATAGTCACCTTTTACGGCAAGCATGGGTGGCTGAAGACCTATTCTACCCCTCAGTTTTAGTATGTTGAGTACAAATTGATATCCAGTATTAAGAATTAGCTTCCTTGCTGTGTTACTGTCATACTGTAAATGTTGTTCACTTAGGATAAACATGTTGAGGGCTGATTCCAGAAATACGAGTCGTTATGCCCATAACGATGTTTACATTACACTACATTTATCACCTATCTGTGATATTCGAGGACTCCAAATATCTACTCCCTTTCTGAGAGCAAACAACACTTCCTGTTTACAAATCAACCTACACTTACATTGAAAGGCATAGTCCGAGTGTTCACTTCCATCCATCGCTATGGCCACAACTCTTTGGGTGGTCGCCATCTTGAACAGGTTCTTGTCAATGGATTCCTCTGTTCACGACACGCCTGTGTCAGAAGTGCGCATATCTCCAGGCCACGTGACACTATGAACGGGTTTACCTGATAACTGAAGCTTTGACAGATAGCACAAGCAAGCATACTTAATACAACGTTGGTGACGATGTGTGACACGTGTTAGGAAACAGTGTTACGCTGGTGTTCAAAAGTGGACCTCCTCGCGCAGCTTGTGTATTTTCTCGGAAGTCTTTTACAGATTGATTTTTTACATTGCTTTAACAAAATTAATTAGTGAGTGAATTTAGCTGGGTTTTATGCATTATTTTGGCATTGTCGAATTGTTGCAAGGCGTTTTCTTTTCACTACTTGGTTCAGGATCCACCGACCCTTTAAATCAGGAATGTGGGAAAAAATTGTGGTAAAAAGCATTTTTTTATTACCACTGATCCCTGAGATCACAGGTTGCTTCCTTGATTGACAGAGGCTCAAGCAGCCACAATGAGTTGAGGTGAAATTGGGTTTAACGTCGCGTCCAAGATTATTGCACTTATATAGCGACGTGCATGCACGTGTGTGTGTGTGTGTGTGTGTGTGTGTGTGTGTGTGTGTGTGCTTGTTCTAGTCCGGACTGTTGCTGATCTATAGAGCTAGCCCACTGAGATACCATACCACTGTTTAACATGAATACCCCACTCTGACACAGTATACTGACTCCGAGCCGACCAGTCCTTGTTTTTGCCCTTTAATGCCGAGTGCCAGACAGGGTTACAACAAGTACCATCTTTTAACGTATTTTGGTATGACGCGGCTGGGGATCGAACCCCGGACCTCCCGCTCTCCGGGTGGAATAGGCCATGGAGGCGGTCGGAGCCACAATGAATACTGTTCATAGACGCACCGGTACTCCAAGCAATAGGTAGTTTTGTTCCATGTTAACACAAGCATAACGTAACCTTTCATAAAAATCCTATTTTTGACTCCGATACGATAACCCTCTTTGTCATTACCCGAGGACACATAGACAGGTGGACAATCAGCAAATCAGCGTCGAGGCATCAACATGTTTGGTAGGACTTAACGAAGCATTCAGACAAGCATTTTTTTATTTTATAAACAAATATAATCGGGTATATCGACATTCGAAAAAATAAAGCCGCGCCATTTTATTGTTGTGGAGATGTTATCCATCCAGTCGTTTGGGGGTGGCATGGCATTCGCATCCGCAAGGAAGTATTATCAAAGGCACTTTTGTGTTCTGTGTGGATTTTCCTTTGTACAAACCGACATTTCCGAATCGAGGAGGTACAAAAATGAAGCTCACAGCTGATTTGCGCAAGAACCCACCTATCCTTATTTCTATTGGGCCGTCAAAGTTCACCCAGGGCTCATCGGACGCGCCCTTTAGTGGAGGTGTCCTTTGATCCTGTGCACAGCGCGCTGATCACTAATCAGGTGAAGTTAAGCAACGTCCGTCTCGGAGAGTAGATGGATGGGTGACCCCGTCCAGCAGCTTGACCCCTGAGAGTTTATAGGGCTTCGGTCCTGCCCCACACTGAAGCACATGTACCACACGTGGTGTCTCCTTTGGCAAGTAACTTTGTACGAAATATGCTTCTGTTTCACCAATCACTGAGTGGGTACCCGGTAGGATGAGATGGTAACGAGGCTATTACCCTTCTAGCGCCTCACAGGCAGCTTGGGTTGTATACTCCCCAGGGAGCTGAGAATGCAAATCGAGTGCTCGCTGATCCATTGGCTGTGGCTGTGGGTAAAAATGTAAGCGCCATGAGCACACGAGCTGGTATGGAGTTTGGCGCCATACAAATGGACACAAATCATCTCCGAGTAAAATCTCTGATTTTCATGAGATTGGTATTTTCGCATCATCCCAACCCTATAATTGTACAAATGTATAAAAGTGACAAAACATGCATAAGAAATCTCATTTTCAATAAGGAAGGGTTTAATTTCATAAACTCTGGGGCGCAAAATACAGTAGTTTGTTTTTAAGTAACTGAAAATTGAAATAACTGTTGCTAAATTTGAATATTTAACCATCACTCATTCCTGCAACAGTTTGTAAAAAGTAATCCGGCGTTGGGTAGCTTTGTGTAAATATAACTTGGTTCAATAGAGACTGGGGTAAGAAATGACTTAATAATCACACGCCCCCCACCATGTTTAAAATGTTGTATATTTGTGCAAATATAAAAGCAGACTTATTGGTTTTAAAAGATATGGTGTCTAAGGTACCCATCAGCAATTCTGTAATATACGGATGTTGTTGTTTTTAATTTAAAAGTTTAAATTAAATCAATTTTTAAAAATATAACCATGTAGACATATTCTTTGAGTGCTGACTAAGCGCAAGTAGAGTTCATTTCTTCGGTATAATATAACTAATTTGTTTTGCTCCTCATTTTATTTATTTGCATATTTTTCCCTTTTTATAATTGCTTTTTAAAAAAATGAGTTGAAGCGCGGTGAGGTGGAATGGGGCTTATCGCGGCGTTTAAGATTATTTCACATTAAAATGACGTGCTTGCGCGTGTGTGTGTCCGGATTCATGCCAGCCTTACAGTGCTAGCCCAAGGAAATACCCCTTTCCAGGCATCGTTTGCCATTAAACTCCTTTTTCAGCTCTACTTGTATGTCTTGGGGGAGGGGTTGGGGGTGGGGGGATTTTGTATCAAGATAAGATATTTTTCCAGTTTTACCTGCAAAACCAGATACTTTTTTCTTTAAACTGTGAGCCTGATTTTGTGTGACAGGCAATTTTTTTTTTAAAAGGTCTGAAGCATAATTATCTTTCAAAATGATAAGAAATATCTGCTGAACGCAAAGTCCATTGCACAATTCCGACCGTATTATAATTATGTGTTTATGAATCACTACAAAACAGGGATGATACCAAGTTCCTGCCCAACCTGTACCGCCCATCACAAACACTTGCAAAGGTAAGTCAAAATGGGTAAATCGCATTGTACATCATTTTGGCCACTGATGCGTCTAATTTGGAAATGTTTCCCCGCATGTCTTCCATAAAACACGAGGGCAGGGAGCACGAAGGTACAAAGGCGGAGCATGAACCGATATTTGGCAGTAACATCTTATTAATATTAAATATTTTTCAGGTCAGTTTTGCAAATATCCTTGTGTTTAGGTGTAAGGTACAGCATGCTGTGAGAGAAAGAAATCCAATTATATTTCTGAACATACTCAGTTATATATCTCACACTCTACAAACACATCCATACATATTACACAACAATGTTACAGTTTTTCATTTATACCAGGAAATATCAGCGCTACCTGCCCGGGAACATTTAACTTTCTTTAAAAACACTCATGTTGTTGATGGGAGATTTGACAGCAGTCACCTGCAGTCAATCACAACGCTTGCTTGCGACATTTCTGTTTAAAACTACAAGGGTTAAATAGGTTGAGATCGGACTACGCCGTGCGAGCGACAAGGATGTTAAATTTGATTCAAATAATCAAGGAACCTCAGTTGCATGGTTTGGGCGTCATTTGTGGTAAGTACAAATTAGTCTCTCATACAATCCTGAAACAAGAAATATTAGAAAACTCACAAGCAAGGAGGGAAATCATAAAACGACATAACGAACATTTTTCTTCAGTAAAACATTGTAGCTTGGCTGTCGGACAAAATGCATGGAAAACATTATCCACGATTTACCAGGATCATTCCCGGTCGTAGATAAGCTGATTACATGCGCAAAAGAAACAAAAGTATCATTGTATTATACATTGAGTAATTAATACTTATAATTAGTGAAATGTAACGATTGTACCATTTTCATGCATGAATGCCAATACTGTAAGAAGACTTTTATTTTAACACAATTGTAACCCATGGGGTTCCAGGTTAGACTAGCGCCCTAAGCAGGCACCGTGTGTAGTATTAAGCTACTCAATTGGTCGGCTGGTCAGTCTCCGTACCCCGACGGTATATATTGTTGCTCATGATACCAATTACTGAATTGTCTGGTCCAGATTCGATAATTTACAGTCCACCGTCATATTACTGGAATATTGCTTCGTTCCACGATAAACAACAAACAAATGAGCAAAATTGTTACCAAAGTTATTTGGGTACTCAATGCCTTGATTAAGTGTATGTTTATTTTTTAGATTTCAAGTATGTCGATCCATGATTGAGTTCAACTTAATTCAAATGATTTTAAAAACAGATCAGAACTACTTATTTATACAAACTTCATTTTGTGCACCAACAAGGTCTTTTAAAGTTAACCTTTCATAAGTACCTGGGGGAAAATGAAAGGAGCGTGCTAAATGCTTCATCTCCATTAAAATTATCCAATGGAAAACATACATAGAACTGTATTAATGACATTATAAATTTCACAATCATATGGGTTAAGCAAGGGAGTATTCTATTCCATGTATTCAATTGAGATATATAATATTTCCGTCTCAAAAATCTATTTTAGGCTAAGCTTATCGGAACATGATATATTTCATATATTATGTTTGACCTTGCGGACCCTTCACGTAAGGCGATGTAATTTACCTTCCTTAACTTGGCTAGGATCCGCTTATATTTGGACCAAATACCAGATCAGCCACAATTTTGAATCTTTGGGCTGTCACAACCTTATCAAAGTGTTTTGAAAACAACTACAACAAAGGGACGTTAAATCCATTCACTCACTCACTCATTCCTCAAGTACTCATTGGTAAATGACCATTGTAGTGAGGGATATTCAGCTGTACGTTTAAATAGCAATTATGTGTTTCTGTATTCTTACAGGAACCACAGGAACACTTTAACAGGGGTTAAAACATTCAATCATAATATCTTTTCAGAAAATATAAAACATCAACGCCAGAGAATAACTAGTCTCGATTATCTGCGAAAGCAAATCTACAGTGTCAACAATGGCAAGTCTACAACCGTCACGGCTCATATTCAAATGTGTATGCTACATCCTACTGATAGCAATGGTTTATGGTCAGGGTTGTCCCCCTTGCAATTGTACCTACGACCATCATCAAGTATATGTGAACTGCTCCAACCAGAATCTTACAAGCGTTCCCAAGGGTTTA